TTAAGGCTTTGACAAATCCTTTAGCTAGTGTTAACCTAGAAAGTTTTAATAATGTACCCAAATACTGTTAAAAAATCTTAAGATAAAATTTTCGAGTTATGTCGGCTGTAGTACAAGTTTTCATTGTTTCATTTATTGTATGATCAAATGATTAAGTACCTACTTTGGAATTTCAAGTTTTATCTGTGTTAGGTGTATGTCTTTCTTGATAATATTAACACATTTATTTTATGAATAAGTAAAGTAACTAAATTAAACCATAGACAACATAAAAAACCATTCGCCGTTACGTCCAACGATTGTGAAGCACAAAAGTAGAGTATCAACATTATTTTTCTTGTGCAATACTCCACCCCTTTAATAGCTCTGATTTAATAAATATTTTGTATAAGACTTCTACTAGCTCCCCAATTCTAGATTTAGTTAATCACATGAAAAAATTCTACTGGTATTCCATCTACTCCTTCTGCCTTGTTATTTTTCATTTCCTTAAGTGTACTTAGCACTTTGGCTCCTGCAATATTTGCAGTCAGTGTATCCTCCAGCTCGTTTTCTTCTTCCGATGGCCTTTTAGTCTCATCCTTACTTTGTGTTCTCGTGTTCCTTTCTTCTAAATTTAACGTGCCTTACTGCTCCTAAAAAATTTCAAAGTGCCCTAGCAAATTCTCTTTCTTAATGCCTGTATCCATCTTTTTCGGCCTTTATTGACCTATTTCCCTCTAAAATTCCACTATTCCTTAGCTTTTTTATACTCTTCTCCACCGTTTCTCTCGTTGTTTTTCATACTGTCTTCCCCATTTTTTCCTAAGTTTTTCTCTTTGTTTGTAAAATCTCGTTATCCTTTTTCAGCCTTAATATTACCAATTTTTATAGTGCCACCCATACTTTTTTTTTGTATTTTGACCCTTTTCCCCATTCTAATAACTATTTTCTTCGTACTTTGTTGATCATTCTGAGTTTTTTGCCTACCTCCCAAATTTGTTTCGTAATAATAGTTTATATTTTTTGCGAGTTTATGCCTACTATGTCTGCTTCTATTTTCTTATTCTCTATTTTATTATTTTAATTATTACTTCTGCTTTCATCACATTTTAAAGTCACCTTTCCATCTAATTCAATCCTTATATTAGTCCCATACTTTTATACCTTATTTACACTAGCTATACTTTTTTCCAGTGAGAGGTGTTCTGATTGAGTTCTCAAAGTTACTTTCAATTTTTGACTGAGATTACCCTCTCTCTATTTACTGTTTTGTTTGCAGAATTTTTTTTCACTTCTCTTTCACCTTTCCTATTAATCTGCCACTTCCCTAGTCTAGCGTTACTTCATTATTCTTCCCTAATCTCTGATTGTCGAGACTAACTCTTCTTTATCAATACAGCCATCTACTCCATCCTGTCATTTCTCAAGTATAAGTTGTATTTTTGTGTTCTTGTACACCCTGATTATGTTAG